TGTTCACTGCAGTATCGTATGTGCTATTAGTAACATCTAAATGTTGTCCAATGGAGTTGATAAATATTTTGTGATAGAGTATGACAATTCTTAAAAAGAAATGAACTCCATGTTCTTGTTTCCATTCTGATAAGTCTTGAAAACACTGTTAGGGAAAAGGTTTCAGAACACCATGTGATAAATTAATATTAATGTACTACAAATGTAGTAAAATATAACTACAAACTAGAACAATAAATACAAACTGATTATTGCTTTTGGGAGTTAAATTTGGGAAATAGTATGAAATATGTTCAGAATGGTTCAACTTTATCTTTTTTTTTTCTTTTTAGTTTATTTATTTATTTATGTGTGTGTGTGTGTGTGTGTGTGTGGCCAGCTCAGCCCACCAGGGGGCGGGGTTGGCTGGCATGTGGTGCTGGGGGATAGAACCGTGGTCCCTGTGCTTTGCTAAGCTTGCTCTAAGTAGGTGCTTTAGACCACTGAGCCATCTCACCAGCCCCTCAACTTTAGCTTAATGTTTTGCTTCTTAAATAGTAAATCTAAGGCAAATATTTATAAGAGGTGACATTTCTTCATTCTGAGTGGTGAATGATAATGTTCTTGGTAGTTTTATCTATTAAAAATATATTCTTTTTTAAAAGATTAAATGTGACAGAATTTCTGTAGTGTTCTAACAGATGCTAGAAAAAAAACATAACAAAGAACAATTTTAAAAATCTTCCACTGGGCTTGGTAGAGCACACCTATAATCCCAGCAATCTGGAGGCTGAGGCAGGAGTATCTTCTCAAGTTTGAGACCAGCCTGGACTATATAGTGGGTTCAGGGCCAATCTGAACTACATAGTGAGACCTGTCTCAAAATCAAACTGACCCAAACCAAACCAAGACATATAACCCCCAATAAATAAATAACTCTTTATCCTTGAGTGTATAGGACAATTGGCTAATAACTCTTTTTTTCCCTTCTTCCTTCTTAACAACATCTCAATACTGACTGTATCTACTGATTTTTTAGTTTAGAAATGAGCACCTTCCCCAGGCTCTAGGCTTCAGGAAAGCTATCCCCACCTTTCTTTGACTCCAGAGATCATACAGTTGGTTGAATGGTAACCCTACCTCCTTTGCTGATTGATGTAGCAAAAAAGGTTTCTCATCTATATTAGTCACCAGAATGATTGAGAAATGAGCTTGTCACTGTTTATGCTATTGTCGTATGAGGGAACATATCTGAGGATCTCTTTAAAAATTTCCTTGCTAGTACATGAAGGATCCTGGAAGTCACCTGGAAATGCCCTTTAGAATTGGAGGATGGCCATGCCATATGAAGCCAGGACCTATGATAACTACTTCTGCCACCACAAGGGAAGTCAGCCTTGGGATAAAACTAACATACAGGCTGAATACAACCAAGGGAGTCACACAGAAAATGGAGCAGGCTCCATTATATTAATCAGCCACAAACCCTTTCTATCTCTGAACTTTTAGACAGTGAGTTATTATTATTATTTTGTATTTTATGGAAGGGTCTACAGGGTGTTCAGGGTCTCACTACTAGATTGGACTCATAGTGATCTGCCTGTTTAAATCCTCCCAAGTGCTGGGATTATAGGCATGCCACCACGCCCAGTCTCAATTGCCATCTCAGCATGCCCTGGGGGCAGGACCAGCATGGCAGGCCCAGAGATTGAACCCCCAGCCCCTGCACCTGCTTGTAGGCTTTTTAATCTGCTGAGCTATTTGGCCAGTCTGATCTTTATTATTCAAGCCAATCTAAATTGGGTTTTCTGTTACCTCGACTGCAGGACAATTTAACAGTTCCAGCAGGCCAAATAACCTCAAGAGGCTTTTTCAGAAGTCTGTTGATGGACTCTGGCTCACTGCTTCATGCTTAGCCCATGACTTGCTTTTGGATCTCACCACAGGGTCACCAGGAAGTGTTAGTGTTTTCTGGTAGTGGTCAAGAGGAAGAGTGGTAGAAAGTGTGAAAACCATGCTCTGTGGTAGATGCTCTCAGATCACATAGCTAACACAAATGCCTGTGATTTCTTGCAACTATGAGCTTGGTTTTTTGAAAATGTCCCAGGGTAAGACTCTTATAATTCACATCTGTGTAGCTGTTACAAATTCTAATTACCAAATTGGAAATTGGAGTAATTAGGGCAGACGTGGTAGCAAGCACTGAGCACTCCTTCCATCATCAGTGCGATGCCCATAGCATAGAAGAGGCCAAAGTGTTTGGGAATCCCATACTCCTGAAAAAGGAGAAAGGGCAGTCAATAGACAAACACTTGCTAGCAACACATTCACAGAGTCTATAAGCCCATGCTTCTAGCCTCATGTGGCTCATTACACAAAATATATCATCATGTCATTAAGCCACAGTGTCCCTCCCCCTTACTCATCCTGTTGGAATCATGGTCCTGCTCAAGTCCTGTCTTTGATTTGCCCACTGTCTCCTCACCATGGCAAAGATGTCCTTGGCTTCCAGGGCTCTTCGATGGAGAATGTCCCGGCGCAAGACTATCAGCAGGAAGAGGAAGCCCAGAAGTACATGGCCCAGGTTACTGAGAATATTGTTGAAGGCACTAGAGGTATAGTGAGAAGCCATGAGCAAGCAAGAGGACTCAGAGAATGAATGAACACACAGAGCAGGGAGCGATTCAGCATTTAGTGTCTTCCACCACCAACTGGAAAACTAAGATTCCAGGGCTGGAAAATCATCAGGACTCTTCTTCAACTGAACTCCTTCACTTTGGGCTGCTTACTCAGCTCATGCTAACATGTCCCTCTCTTCTCAGCAATGCCTGCTGTGATTCCCTAACACTTGCCCATCTCTTCTTGTCCCAGTGGCACTGACAGACTGTGAGTCTTGGGAAAGACAGCTGCTCCACTGATGGAGTGGATTCTCATAGGTGGACCCATGTTATCTATCAACCTTCAGCTCTTAAATAGTGAACCATGAATTTCAGGACAAATCTTGGCTCATCTCAGCTAGCACTTTATTTCAGGAAACTAAAGCTGTTTCTGTTCTGGATTAAGAAGCCAGGTGCCCAACTCCCAGGAAATGCTCTTTCTGTTTCATCTAGTTCTGGTGGCTAGAGAACAGCCAGGATGGCTGCAGACCTGGGGTCAAGTCATGACAACAGTAAAATCTGAGGGCCTTTCAGCAAGCCCTTACCTGTGTAATCATCTATGTCCAACAATGGAGGTAAAAAGAACCCACCTCATGAGGTTGCTTAACAGCTTGAATGAGACAACAGGCTGCCAGCTCATGCCCATGAACACATGCCAGCACAGCTAGGGACTGCATATTTTCAAAACAATCACTGGCTCCTTCTCATCAGGGGACTCTTAGGAATATTGTCTGTGGCCTTCATACAGAAATGGAAGGACCATACCTGGTCTCAATCTCTGGGTTTTATTCCTCTTTAGCCTGACTAGGGTAGTCTTCCACAGTTGTCTTTAAGAGCTTAAGTCATGGTAGATGGAAAGGAATCTCTAAATGCTTCACAAGCAAACAGAGGACTGCGTTTACCTTAGGACGCCCAAGGGGTGAGCACAGAGAAAGTTGTAGTAGCAGATGTCCTGGTTGCCAGTGACATTTACCACCTATGAAATCAAGAGGAAGAAGAGAAAATGCGTTTCTTCCATCCATCAAGCCCCATCCGAATTCACATAGAGCAGACAGTGAATCCCCATCAGCGATTTACAGTGTAATGGGTGGACCTCCTCAGCAGCGGTAGGTTATGGTCTGTCACTTTACTCAGCACAGGCCTATTTCCTATAAATGTCACCATCTTGCTTTGAATGGAAGTAGTCAGTGTACCTCATTAAGTGGCCTCAAGATGGAATTCAATGAACTATGAGTTGTTTGTCATCACACAAGATCTATGAAAGGATGCCAAGTTTGAGCCCTGCCTTTTAAGTCTGCTTTGCTATCTTTCATTCTCTAGAAGAATGCTGGGGGGACACGGAGCTGCTGCATCCTACGAGTGGAAATGGTAACCACCAAGCAGGCAGAGGAGAAGAGCCTTGTAATCAGTTTTCTGTATTTATTACCATCTCCGCCACAAGCCTGGCCAACCATGGCATGGCTGTATCCTCTGAATTTGGGAACCCAAAAGTATGCAGAAAATATTTAAATTGTAAGTAGCAATGTTCAAAGTCCCTGTCCTCATTAGGGAAATGATACAGAATGATTAAATATTATTAGAGATTTAACTACGTGTTGGAGGCAGTGGGGGATCTGAATAGCACTGATGCCTGGCTCCACTCAGAGGCCCTAGTCTTCTTGGTATGGGATACAGCCTCAGGAGTTTTTGAATAAATGTCCCAGGTAATTTAATGCACAGCAAAGTTTAAGAGCCACGGTATTACAATACCTTCAACCTGTACAATTCTAAATGAGCTTTCTTATGTATCATAAATTGTAAAGAATTTACACATAGAGAGACCTAAGGTTCTGTGGAGGCGCCATGAGGATTCTCAAGCTGTTTTAATGCTATCTTTCATTTTAATTTTTGGTTCCTATTTTATATTTTCTTTTAATTTTAATTTTTTTGAGTTCCAAGAAGCTATTTCTTTTTTAACCCTGTGAACAATTTTATTTTTACATGAATGATGAACAGAAAATGATAGTTTAAAATTAAAAGCAAGTATATGTTAACAAAATCAAAAGGGACAAGAATATTTGGCCAATGGGTGAAATTCATTGAAAGTATTCCCATTCAATTTTCTCTTAAAAATAAATACACAGATGCATACATAAAAAGTGCTGTAATGAAACTTTTCCAGACTGAGAGTATGTGCCCCACCTGGTGCAGCTTCCCAGAGCCCTCGGCACGAGCTCCTGTGCGGTGTGCTGAAGACTGATCTGCTCACACAGAGCTGTGTGGCCCCCTTCACACCACAGGCCTCTCGGGAGGAGTCTATGGCCTCTGATAAATTCCCTGCATCCTAAAGATTTATAACCTCAAATTACACTCTCAAATCTCCCTGAAAGCTATTTCTAATTTGATAAAAATGTTTATCCTCAGTGAGAAAGCACAGGCTAACCCAGACATCAAATTGCTTTCGCTTGGTACCTTATTCATTATTCCACGATGCTGAGACATCTCAGACTGGGAAATAATGCAGGAGTTTGACACCTACTGTAACCAAGTGAGTGCAAGATAAGAATTTCAGGTTGTAGACAAAACAATCTAAAATGTGCCAGGTCCCTTTGTGATTAAACAATGAGGGAAGTGGGTTAAGAATGAACACTTGGACCTCAAGTGAGAAATTAACTGGGTCTTTTTTCGAGACAGAGTCTCTCTATGCAGTACAGGCCAGACTTGAACTCATGGTGATCCTCCTGCCTCAGCCTTCCAAGTGCTGGGCCTGCAGGTGTGCATCCCCCACACCAGGTGGAAATGAATCTTGAATACATCTCAAGTTGTACTTTTCTCCATGCAGGTTGGGAGCTGGGATTCTGGGCTGAGGGTGACACTTACTGTCTGGTAGGTGATGACCAGCTGGATCACAGGCAGTGCATAAAACACAGCAATGGTGATGATGTTCCTGTGCAAGCATGAAGAACCGGGAAGATTTATTTCCCAATTAACAGTGCAATTTTTGCCAAGGTTTCTATTTTATTTTTTAACAGAATGCTTCTACCCCATAACTCCATAAGGAACTTCCAAAGTGGTCAGAAACTATGATGGAGTTCCTGTTTTACCACTCTTTCCTCTTCTCTTGCCTTTGAATATTTAGTGTATATCATCGTGATTAAAGGGAGGAAAGGAAGTAAACCAAACTCTCCTGGGTTACTATCAATGTGCTTGTAAAGGCCACCAAAAATATTAATTGAAATAATGTACTTGAAGATTAATCACTGCCATCTCGCACCTATTTTTTTCTTCATCTTTGTACCACGATTTGTAAAGTTCATAATATCTGCCTCTCGTTTAGCAACATTATTGATGAGGGCCCACCCTTTTGGAATGTTATTAGATTAAAAGTGATCAGAATGCAAGTGACAGATGAAGGATTGCACCCAGAGAATGCAGGTCTCTTGGGTAACTCTTAGCTCCAAAATGATGGTCCCATTATAAAATGACGTAGAGCCCTAAGGTCTCTGATTTTCCTGAGGCTTCTGGAGAAAAGAATAGAAAGGGCTGTCACAGGGGAACAGCAGTCAACCTGAAGGGGCTTTCTGAAGGGAGAAGGTGCCCTGTCAGTCAGCTCAGCCATTAGCTTTGGGGAGACGGTGTGATAGTCATAAATATGACTCTCACAAGTCTGTTCGTCATTAGCTGGTGGCATCATCACTGATCGTTGCACCTCCTTAGCAGTGAACCCTTGAGACATAAGGGGCTGTGGCTTCTACAAAGAAAACATAAATCATCACATTTTATGTAGAGGAACTATGGTGCTACTTCATCTACTTACCAAAAATAAATCTTATATTTTTTGCTGACAATTCGTCGGTCCTTTCTGGAGAGGTCTGACAGGTAAAGGAACATCTGAAATGCCAAATAAAAAGGAAATACCAAATCTCACTTGGCTTTTCTTGCATAAAACACAAAGAAATGCTTTGCAAATCTTCACTTAATCCCTCCTCAGGGATCACAATTATTCAGTCAGGCTTTTCTTTTAATTTTCCTTTTCTGAAGATATGTTAATAAAAACGTTAATATTTTCCTTTGAATATTGACAGCTGGCTGATGTGGGAAACCTTTTAGGAGACTCAAATGCTTCTTATATCCCCTGGATTGATTTGCCAACTTTCTGAACTATTCACTATGAGATTCTTGAATTATTGAAGGTTGAAACTGCAATTTACCTTCAAATCTTTTACTGGGATCCACATAAGATAATGAATATTGGTCATAGAGAAGTGAGCTTTACCTTCAAGAGATAATTTTTTTTCAATGTATTTAGCACAGGGTCTCACTATGCAGCTCAGACTAGTAATGACTCTCCTGTCTTCAGCCTCCCAAGCACTGAATTTTACAGGTATGCGCCACAACGTCCAGACTCAGCGGCCGGCTCAGGGCGCCTGGGGCAGGGACGACACAGCATATTGTGCTAGGGATTGAACCTCAGTCCCTGTGCTTGAATAAAAATTGGAGGCTTTCTCAAAGCACTCCTTCATTGTCTTTTCGTATACCCAGCTAGATCCCTACTCTCCTTTCTGCCCGTTGTCATCTGTTTCAGATTTTGAGAGTGTTTATAATGCTTTATCTTTACTTTCTCACCTTTTTTCTCAAGCAAAAGGTTCTAATGACTAGAACACTGCTTTTAGTCTGTAGTTTGTTTTGTCTAAACACACTGGGGAGTTTGTCCCCCGCCCCTAGCCCAAAGGAAAAAAATATTTAGGAAACTGAGATACTGGTGAAGTTTATTTAACTGTGGAACATTCTGCCCTCTGAGTAGTGTGGCCATGCAGAGGGAGCTACCTTGGTCCGGATGACATTTTTGTCACTCTCAATATCTGGCATGGTGTCAAAGTCACTCTCTTCCACGGAGCTGTCTGTGTCTGAGTGGCATGGCTGCCCACCATCGGAGGACATCTGCCTTCCAGGGCTAGAGCTCGACTCATCTGAAAGACAGAACTCATCTGCTTTTAAAAGCCAAGAACAGTCCATGCAGCCCGTTCCTCTGAAGAAAGCATAGCGCTGACTCACTCTAGAAAATACTGCTTTGGTCAAAGCTAAGTCCTTCCCCACAAGACATGCTCTTTCTCTCATACCTTCTCAATGGTCTTCAGTGTTTTTCTTCTCCTCCTATTTTTACATTTAACTTGTCTATCTTTGAATACATATTACACTATAAGGACATCAGTTCTGTTAAATATTTGGATGCAAAAATAGCATTGCACTTATATTTCATGTCTCATATTTTAAAATATGGACACAAATATATAAATATACACATGCACATAGTTATGTATAGCATCTATCACATACATGTGTAAAGTACACACATATTCAGCTATACATTTCTCGTGAATAAAGTATTTATACACAGAAATCTCTCACATGCCATATCTATGATTATATAATGAAAACAACATTCACAGGAAGGACTCTTCTGTTCCCGTGAATGTTTCCCACAGCAGATGGGACTTGTGCAGCTTGAGCATATGAGCTGAGCCTATCTTCCGCTTTACTTCATCTGTTCAGATGGTTTTTTTAAAATCCTGTTCTTAGCAAACTAAAAATAAGCAGCCTACACTGAGCTCACATGCTCAGAGATATAGAGTAAGAGTCCAGGAATACAGGCTCCCCAGTCCCTCTATAGTGATGTTTTGAGGCTCATCATTCACAGGCCCACAGGATGATGGAAGGAGCAGGGCTGCGTGGTTCCCTCCTACCCTAATACAACTGGTACAGGGACTCTGTTCTTTGCAGGCTGATTAATGAACACTGGGTTTCCATGTGAATGCCTGGGTGGCAGTGAGCAGGCTCAACTGTGCAGTTAGCCAAAAAGGACTGTTAGGCGATAGCCACATTCACCTGCAGCACTGCCTTAGTCTTCCGACCGCCCTTATTCCACAGAAACCTGAGAATGAAACAACTGGTCAATGGATGTCAGGCTCCCTGGGATGCATCTTTTCTGCCCTGTTCTCTGGCTGGGTCAGAAAAAGTCCCCGGGGGACCATGGTAGTGGCCAGAAATCATTTAAGGAATTCAGTTTAAGTGTGGGGAGTGGATTAAGAAACAGAACTGCAGAAAGTTAAGAGATGGGAAGAATTTTCTAGATTACCCAACCAATTCATCTTATAAATGAAAGACAAGGAGGGTGGGGCATGTAGCTCAGTGGCACAGCACCTGTCTGGCAAGTGTGAGGGTCTGAGTTCAATCCCTGGTACCCACAAAAATTAATAAATTAATGAAAGACAAGTTCAGAGGGTCACTGGCTTTTCCACCCTCACAGTTTTGAGTGGCTAGAAGGCCCTTTACATGCTAATCTCTGGAGAATGAAGAAAGGGTTCCACTAATAGACTCTTGGTAGGAAATACCTATTGCCCCATAATTGCTCCCTTCAGGAGTGCTGGCTGCAATGGGATGGGTCGCTGCCATATTTCCAGAACCTGTGGAAAAAAGCAGAGTCAAATACAGTGTCAAGCTGCTAAAACAAAACATACAACACTAACCAGCTCAAATCAAGAGGCCACAGTATTTGAAATTTGACTGTCTTCCTCCTTTAATATAGAAGGTACCAAATCTGGCCTGCTACTTGCTTTTCTAGAGCCCTTAAACAAAGATTTTAAAAGTTTGGGGGAAAAAAATTAAAAGACTATTTCATGGCAGGTAAAAATTATATGTAATTCAAATTTTAGTATTCATGTGTAAAGTCCTATTGAAGCACAGCCGTGCCAATTTGGCTGCATTTGGGATAAAAGAGTGTAGCTGAAGTAGTTGTACCAAAAGCTGGATGCCCCAAAGAGCCTCACATTGTTGCTACATAATTCTTTACAGAAGTTCTGAGCTGATTCCAGCCTGACAGTACTGCAGAATTACAAAGATAAAGGATCCTCGATCTGCAACTGCTGTGGAGAAAGAAGGTCATCACCGAACAGAAACACCAGCAGTAAACTTCTATCATTTATTCATAGGAATTTGGAGATTTATTTTTTATACCACTTAGCAGCACCTTAACTAGAAGCAGGAAGCCCAGGCAAGAAGGAAGATACTGATCTCACTGGAGCAATACATGATGACAACATGAACTGAGGGTGTGGAGGAGGCTGAGTTATCTTCAGGGGTATCGAGGTATATCTGTTGTCAACTGGTTATTCACAATGAGAGAAGATCAGACACCAGGACTACGCTCCTTGCCGGGTGTGGTGGCATGCACCTGTAACCCCACCACTCTGGGAGCCTGAGGCAGGAAGGTTGCAAGTTCAAACCCAGCTTGAGCAACGTATAGGAGCTCAGTGAGACCTTGTCTTAAACGTTAAAAAATAATGAAGGGCTGAACATATAGCTCAGTGGAAAGGTCCTGGGTTTGATCTGCAGAAATTCAAAACAGAAAAAATGCTCCTTCAACATTTTCAGTGGTGCACAGTATGTTTAGAAGCAGGAAAACTGAATTTACTGCTCTGAGCATCTAGAGGTGCCTCTCGAGCCACACTACAGGCATCAGAGGAAAATAGCTCTCAGACTTCTTAGTGATTATCAGGGAGACACACAGTGGATGACACTAAGCTTCTGAGAAGCACTTCCGTTTCTGAGAATGAGCCAAACAACGTAAACTGCACAGCAGCAGCCACAAGTATGCAGACATCCAGGCAGTGTCTCTGACGCTGAGCCTTAGTGCCACAATATTTCCTCCACAGATTTTCGTGAGAACATTTCTTCTCTGCCTTGTGAACTCAGCCAAGGATACACAGAGATGCTGTCAGGCTGTGGGAATGTCAACAAATTCCTCGTTCTGAGAGGTGAGACTGCTGGTGTCCTATGGCAGCGAGAGTCTGTGAACTAACTGGCTACTTCTTTCTCTCTGTGTACATCCTTGCCCTACCAGCCTGCTGGGGCTGGATCCCAGGGCCTCCTCTGAGCCAGGCAAGCTCTCTGCCTTTGAGCTACCCCTAGCCTGCTCTTCACTCTCTTACGCTAATGCAAGCGTGTCTATGTTCAGTGAAGAAACTTAACTGAGGATATTCTAAATATTTTCACTGTAAATACATTTCACTGTTTTTACTAAAAATATAGTTCATTTTAATTTATATTAAAACTACAATGTGTAACGTGTAAAGAACCAAAATCCTCTAATGCTTTGTTTTCTTCTGCTTTTTCTTTTTTTACTATTGTGTAATCTCTTTAGATCATAATAAAAAAAGATTAAAAGAGAACTAAAATCCTCAAAAAAAATTCTTAGTTGTCCTAATCAACTTTCTTTATCCAGTATTCAAACTTCATTTCCACTGGGGAGCAGCTTTGCAAACTAATTTTGTAGGCTCTGTTATGATTATTATTGTTGCTGTTATTATTTCTCTTTGTGTGCCCATTCATTTCCTCTAAGTATAAAAATAATTTTATACTAAGTTAAACACTTTGGCTAGAAATCAGAGACAAATCCAACGGCCTCAGACACTCATTTTCTTTCTCCTTTGGTGGCTTCACAGAGGTAAGCTGCTTGGTATGTGAGACAATCTCCAAAGCCTAGGAATTCAGACTTTGGCCTTTACAGCGTGCATTCCTTGACATTGTCACCAGTTTTCATATATTTATTATTTAATGAAATTAGATCCCTGACCTTCCTGGGGCTAATCCAGGAAGTAAAATGGTACCAAAATCCATAAAATGGTACCAAAATCCATCCATGCCTTTTTTTTTTTTTTTTTTTCATGAGCAGAATATATTTGTTGAGAGAAAGAAATCTCCTGTCCAAGAGAGGGACAGGAGGGAAGCCCGAGCGGGTTGAACCCATCCATGCTTTTTATCCAAGTTCAAGGTAAAGAAACTTGCCACCTTGGGATTCTCAAATATGAAAGGTCAAATCTTTTGAGCACAATAAATGTTATGTGACAATGCTGTGCACAGTTTGATTGTGATTTTCACCTAGGACGGATCAGGCCACAGCTGCCATAGAGCTTTGCTGTTGTGTCTGCTTGTGCTCATGACCACAAGTACCACTGCCTTCCCCATCCCTGGTACCGCTGCTACCCTAGTGCCTGGATTGTTGTTGTTGTTGCTGCTGCTACTACTACTTTGATCCTCATTGAGCTCTGACTGTGTCAGACACTTTAGGATGTTTTCACAGTTTGATTTTTAAAAAAATATATTTATTTATTTATTTGGTGCAGGGTCTTGCCACACAGCTCAGGCTCATAATGATCTTCCTGTCTCAGCCTCCCCAGCACTGGGATTATAGGCATGCTCCACCATGCCCAGTTTCAATGACCAGCAGGGTGAACCTGGAGTTCAGGGCCTGCACAGCATGTGGTGCCAGGGAGTGAACCCAAGTCCTTGAGCTTGCCAGGCAGGTACTTAGACCATGGAGCTATCTCCCCAGCCCAACAGTTTAATTTTTTAACCCATCAGCAACCTGTGAGGTGGATATTATTATTGCCACTACTTTAAAGATGATAAAATAAAGGTGCTGAAAGACCACATAGTTCACGTATTTACTAACATAGTGGACGGTGATTCAGTGTGCTGCCTCTACTGACACTTATCTCTTTAAAAATACTTTTATTGTATATGTTTAAGATGTACATGTTCTGGCCAGGAATATAGCTCAGTGGCATAAGCACCTGCCTGGCAAGGGCAAGGTCCCAAGTTTGATCCCCAGTAGCCCCCGAAACAACAACAACAACAACAACAACAACAACAAAAACCCAAACCCAAGATGTACATGTTCTGATATACATTTATCTATCATCTATCTATCTATCTATCTATCTATCTATCTATCTATCTACCTGCCTATCTATCTATATCTAGTGAAAAACCTCAGGTAAGCAAATTAACATGTCCATCAACTTCTATGATTAACTTTTTGAAACTGTAAGAGCACCTAAAATCTATTCTTGTAGAAAAAAGTTAGTATAGAATATAATATCATTATCTGTATTCCCCTTACTGTACATGAAATCTAGACTCATTTACACTATGCAATTGCATTTGCTTCCTTTGATCCATATATCCTTATCCTCGTCTCCCTGCCCGTTGACCACTATTCTACTCACTATTTCTGTTATTCAACATTAAATAAAGATTCCACACAAAAGGGAGATCATGAAGTAATTTTCTTTGAGACTGGTTTATATCATTTAGCAGAATGTTCCTCACATTCCTCCCTGGGGACATCCTGTCATCAATGACAGTATCTTCTTTCAAAGGATGACTAGTATTCCAATGTATGTATGTGTCATGTATCTTCATAAAAAACACAGAAATTTTTCTTGAAAAGTTCAATAATGAGTACCAAATACATTCCTTTTGTGTATTGCCTGAAAATCTCTCCAGGACGTTGTAGAGGAGGTTGAGGCCCTTTGCATCTTCACTTTGACAAAGTCATATTTTTAAAAAAGTAAGCAGTGTTTGCATTTGAGGTTGGATCTTCTGCTTGCCAGTGTTGAGGTGGGGCTGTCGGAACCCAGCTTTTGGCTAGTTCATTGCAGAGAGTCCCACTGTGACCCCTGTCTTGGTTTAACTTCTAGGGAATGCCATGGTCTTTTACTTTTCCCTCAGTATCTTTCACATTTTCTTTTTTCATGTTTAAGCTTGTTTAAAATGTACTTACATGTTTTTAAATGTGGGGATAATAAAAAACAATGCAAATATAAAAAAGTTTTAGGATTTTTAGTTTTTTGATGTTCCTGAGACATGAGATAGGTCAAAGTGTGTACAGGGAAATTGCTGAATTTGGTTTTAGAAGGAAGTTACAATAGTTATGAGGATCTTACGTGTGTGTGTGTGTGTGTGTGTGTGGTCAAGAGAAAAATAAAAAGTCAAGACAAAAACCCTTCTCTTTCTTTCTTTCTTTCTTTCTTTTTTTTTTTTTTTTTTGAGACAGGGTCTCACTATCAGTCCATGATGGCCTTGAGCTCACTTTGTAGTCCAGGCTGGTCTTGAACTTGCAAGAATCCTCCTGCATCAGCCTCCCCAGTGCTGGGATTGTAGGGGCATGTCACTATGCCCAGCTATTGTATTCCTTTTTAATCTACTGCATAAAGATACTCATGAAAATGAAGCTGAGGGAAGGGAGGTGGAAATAAAAAGAATTAAGATGTGCTATGTGCATGTACCAAGACTACATGGCCAGTGTAATCATCATGTACTACTAACATATACTAATAAAATTTCAGAAAAGAACTCCCAGAACTACTTAAGAAAGAAACAAGAATGATGGAATAAGTTATTGGAAGCAAAAGGGAGTATTTTGCAGGAGACTAATAGCAATATGTCTGTGATTGTAATAATTTAAAAATATTTAAACATTTACCATATATTTTATCATTGCATGTATTTATACTTTTAACTTTGAACAATTTAGCAGAATTAAACACTGTTTATAGGACAGGTTAAGATGTTCTGGCTGGAAATAATAGACATAAGACTATGCAAGATCTCATCCAAATGA